AACCTCCACAGCTCCAACTACAATGGCTCCAACTACAACAACAGCTCCAAATACAACCATCACAGCTACAACAACAGTTCTCCCTACAAACTCCACAACAATTACAGTGGCTCCTAGTACAACAACAGCTCCTCCTACAACCACCACAGCTACAACTACAGTTCCACCTACAACCTCCACAGCTCCAACTACAGTGGCTCCAACTACAACAACAGCTCCAAATACAACCATCACACCTACAACAACAGTTCTCCCTTCAACCTTTCCAAGCATAACTACAATGGTTCCAACGACAACAACCGTTCCACCTACAACCTCCACAGCTACAACTACAGAGGCTCCAACTACAACAACAGCTCCAAATACAACCTCCACAGCTACAACTACAATGTTTTCAACTACAGTCCCAACTACAATCATCACAAAAACAACAGAAATACCTCCAACTCCAACGACAACAACATTTCTACCTACAACAACCATCACTACAACTACAATAGGTCCAATAACAACAACAGTTCCAACTACAACTATAACAATGACTACAACACCATCTCCAGCTTCAACAACGTTTTCAACTGCAACCACAACATTCCCTTTAACAACAGCACAGAAAGCAACCACAGTTACTATTCCAGGTAACACCTTTTATTATTTTTAGTAGTAGAACCTGAGCATTAAATCATATTGGTTTCATAATAAATTTATGTTTTAGGCTGCTAGATATAAATCTGTTTTATAATCTTTTCCATTATTACCATTTTAATGTTTGCTTTTGATTACAGTTTCATTAATGGAGTAGTGTAACAAAAGCTCTGAACATAAATCAGAACATTTTTAGTTCCTTTATTTTTGTTCTATAGTTTTTCATGATATGGCATACTTGTTTGTTTCTCCTGTGATAACAGTGGTGACGCCTGCCTCTGTAAGGATGGAGTTGACTCTTCTTGCTTTTTCAAACATTGATGCAGAAGCAGAAAGGCTTATTTTAAATGGGGTAAGTACAGCAGTCTGTAGAGGCAGAGGTGGCTGGGAAAGCTGCTCTTCATGGACCTGTTCTGGAAGCTTCACATTTTAAGTTTCCAAACATAGGTCCATGAAGGTTAACAATCTTTTCTAACACAATGAGTTTAATTAGAAGGTGCTGTTTTAACACCTCATTAACAGCAATTTAAACAAGAAAGAGCATTAATGTAGTAGTTGGATGTCCAAGGACATATTGCTTAAAATTTAATAGAATTAAAATATGATAACATCGTACTTTTAAATTAGGCTAAATGTAAAGGGATAGAACTAACTTAAAGGACACAGCTATCAATGTATAAATAAGAGAGTAGGGGTTCTTACAGAATTGCCATCTGCTCCAATACTGAGATTTTACAATTATTTATTGAAAATTCTGTGGATTTGGTTTATATTTGAATGATTTTACTGAATTATGAATCAGACTTTATTCATTAAAATCTTATTAATTCTTATGCCCTCAGAACATTGAGACTTCAGTATTCTGATTGGTTCAACCAATAATGATGCTCACATTGAGCTGTATGACCCACAAGTAACACACCTGAGCCCGGATTTCATCCCTAGCTCACTGTGACTTACTAAGTGACAACACACAATTGGCAGAAAGTCATCTCAGGAATCATTGTGATTAGCCACCCAGCACTCGCTCAGCTCTCAATGGAACAGCAGCTCCTGTGTCTGGCTGGTTGCCTGCAGCCTTGCAGTCAGATCATTGCACTGACTGCCATTTGTCTCTGATGGAGGTCAGAGGAGCTTGTCTGCCCCATGTTCATTCCCTCTGGATAGCAATTGTAAAGGAGACATAAGGAAATAATTTCCAATCCCAGATTGATTATAAAAAGTTTTAAAAAAAGGAAATAACGAGGTCTAATTTCTTTCAGATTAAGAGCATCATTGGAGACCACCTGCAAAACAACGTTTCACTGTCCTTGAAAGGAATTAGACGGAAGCTTTCCCTGTCTTAATGGCCTCCTCAGAAGATTTTTGTTCAGGAGGTCTGGATGAAATTAAATTCAGTTCAGGTTCATCCAGTGTATTTCATTGGTTGTATGAAATAAGTACATTTACATAAGTATTTGTTCCAGCAAATACAAAGCAGTCTTCAATTAATTACATCCATGCTTTGCATATACTGTACTTTGTTATAAACAGGCACAATGTAGCTACGTCAATTAACTACAGTATATTTGAATAAATAGTAGAAATAAGGCCAGCACTGGGGCACAGTGGTTGGGGTCCCTGAGTTTAGTTCCAGACCTGGGATGTTATCTGTGCGGAGTTTGTATGTTCTCCCCCTGTTTGTGTGAGTTTTTTCCAGGTGTGAGTTATTTGTGTTGTACACCCTGGTTGTGAGTGTGTGTGTCTGCCTGTGTGTGTCAAGCGAGCTTACTGAATCGAATGAAGCAGCTGGCAAAAGAGTGAGTGGTTGAATGTCCATTGATCTTGTACTGTACTACGATAAGGGTTTCTTCTGATCAGCAGCATCATCTTGGACTGAACTACATTCGTTCTGTGGGGGCAGGGGCAGAACTCATATAAACCTAGAACTCTGAGCAAGAGATACTCAATTTTAGGATTCAGACTACTACCCTGACTTACTATTGTCTACAGCAAGCGCATAATTGAATGTAATTTAAACCTTTATTAAGATCTCATCATAAGGCTTTAATTTAGTTCCCTAACTTTTCTTCGTCTATATTGCATTCTGTTGTGCTTTATTGAAACATGTTTTATCTGACCAATTCCATTCCCTTACCAATTACTTCTGTCGATTACAAACCCACTGGCTCACGTCGTTATCTCTTGTACAGCTCCTTTCAGTCCACACATACTAAAAACTCTCTCGCCTTTTCACAGTTCCTCGGGCACCTCAGGCAAAGACAACATGGACTTCCATAACCAAGCCCTCAAAATGCACTCTTTTTCATTAACAGAGGATACCCTATACATGTTATTGACAGGACTCTCACTCGAGCCAAAATGGTCTTCAGATCATCAACCCATATAGGAAGTACCGAACTTCTGCATTTCAGTGGTGATGCCCTACCACCCCAACACCCTTTCTATCCCCAGGACCATTAATAACAACTTACCCATCTTACAGGATGACCCCTCTGCTGTTACCCTCTTTCCTGACCTCCCCATCACTGACCTCCTCGTATCCCTGACCACCTCATCTGCACAATCTTCTTCTTCACAGCTCCCTTAACCTCCCACAGCAACCATTCACACCAGACTCTTTCCCCTGCAACAGAACCAGCTGCATCTCCTGCAAATACATATCCAATACTATGCACAATCAAGGACCCTTTGGACAGTTCCGTCTCACTCAGATGACATCATGTATTTCCAGCAACCTCATTAATGCAGAAAATGCTGATTCCGAATGCCGAAGAGGCAGGAAGGAGACTAGGAGACCGTTTCAGGGAACATGTCAGGGCCGTGAGGATCAAAGATCTCTCCAAACTCGTAGTTCCCCATTTCAACTCCGACGGCCATGATCATGTGACCGTCGTGGTTCCACACGGGCTTGTGCCCTCCGCCACCCCGTTTCGTGCCACAGCACCTGGGGCGCGAACCCAAGTCACTGGCGTAACGCCACAGGGAACCAGCCGCATGAGCTAAAGGAGACCTCCCTCAGCCCAGGCAGCTGAGGTCCCTGCTACGCGCAGTGAGGGCAATGACGTCACCGTGTCTGAACTAGCTCCGCTACAATCACACTGATCTCTCTGTCTGGGTCCTCACAGAGGGGTAAGGGTCCAACTCCTGTTGCAGAAAGACATCCGAAACCAAAATAATCTTGAAATTAGGATCACACCTGCACCCTTTTGCCCCCTTTAAATCCCCTCTATTCTTTTGCAGATTTTGGCTTTTCACACATCTCCATCTGTTCATCCTGAGTTTGGATACTCATTCTCACCTGCAACATGCCCTATTCCTCCTTGATCACCGCTCCGTCTTAACTACTCTTTCTTTTTTCCTCCTATGCCTTATTTTCTGCTACCTTCTCCTCCTCTCTCCAACAGCCAAAACATTGTGTCTCTTTTTTTACCTTTCAGCATGGAAAGGACCTACGTGGTTTACTTTACAGCTAAATACTCACTTTCTACTTAATTAAAGTAAGAAAACTACTGAAAGTGTATTGGATTTCATATTATTGGAATAATAAGAAAAAATTCTTGTAATTAAAAAAATTCTCTGTAGTACCCTACTGGGAATAAACACAAAAAGTATGAAGCTCCTTGAAAACCCTCCCTGGGGATAAATAAAACAGATATTTTATTTATGACACCCAATCAAACCTGCCCTGCATGTCTTGGTTAGGTTAGAGGATACTGGGGTAGAAGGTGAAAAACCACACAGACAGAGGGAGGACATGCATACAGCAGTTGTATCACCCTGCAGCTGGCAACCCACTGAAGCTCAGCAGGTGTGAGCCTGGTCAGTCCCTGGATGGGAGACCTCCTGGGAAAAACTGAGGTTGCAGCTGGAAGAGGTGTTAGTGGGGCCAGGCGGGGTGCTTACCCTGCGGTCTGTGTGGGTCTGAATGCTCCAGCGTTGTGACAGGGACACTATACTGTAAACAGGTGCTGTCCTTTGGATGAGATGTAAAACGGAGGTCCTGACTCTCTGTGGTTATTAAAAATCCCAGGGTGTTTTTTGAAAAGAGTAGAGGCATCACTCTGGATGCTGCATCACTCTGGATGCTGTACATTGGTGAGGGTGGAGGGGAGTCCCTGTTACCTGAAAGGGCTTTGTGTGGAGTGTCCAGAAAAGTGCTATGTAAGTGTAAGCAATTATAAGTAAATACATGTAAGCACCATGCTGCCCTGTATATGTGGCACAGAATGTTTAAAATTAAATTATGATCTTATCAATATATGAACCCACACATTTTTTTTCACATTATTACGCTGATACCAAGATATTGTAGTTATTTTAGCTTTTTTAGTTGTAGTTCATTTAGTATCTTATAATCCTCAAAGCCTATACAAGTAAAAAAGAAAGTATGTTGTTTGCATTGTACATATTTCCCAATATCTTTTACCCAATCTTATAGTTATCATGTTAAATGTTTAGCATTTGGTCTGACAAATAAGTGACTTATTTTAACCCAAGGTCTACAAAAAGAAACTCAAATGAGTTTTCTGGTATTCCCCTTTCACATATACAAAGGCAACGTTTGTCCCATCGCGCTTGCCGTAGTTTGGCGATCGTCAGGAGAGGAGACGAGCAAGGAAACATGGCAGGTAGAGTTGGGAAACAGAGCCGTGCCAACAATGCGACTGGCAGCGCGAACAGAAAGGGTCCTGCCGGGCAAGAAGAGGAGGAGCAGCCGCTTCAGGCTGTTCTGATAGCCGACAGCTTCACCCGGAGATTTTTCCCCATTTCTAAAGATCAGCCCAGGGTCAGTGTGGCGTGTGCACATGGCTGTGTGTGAAATGAAATGCAAAGCTGGTTTCTCAACAACGTTCGTTTTGTGTTTTACGTTTTGACTGCACGCTTCTTGATTTTTAAATAAAAATATTACGTTGCATATTCTGTTGACATCAGGTTTTCATCGCCTAGTATTCATCGCACTGACTTACAGTACTTTAGCAAGTGCTTTGTTTTCTCTTATTTCTGTATATTCTAATTACTCCGTTCCATACCTTCTAATTTATTTATTCGTGTTATGTATAGGGACAGGTGCAACACAAATACATAACTAACAACAGAAAAGTCTTCTAAAAGTAGAAATGTAAAACTGTATCCCGTTAACATTTTGCGTACAAGTTCTATGTTGCTTCATTGTAACTAATTTTGTGACTGAGGCTTTACGGGACAGCATATAATGTTTTTTTTTTGCTCTAGTCCAAAATATAATGTTCTTTTTTCAAACCCCGTTGGGTCTAAACTAACTCTAGGTTTAGAATTATGTTTAAAACGCTCATAACATTAATCCTACGTACGTTTTTCATGCCAGTAGTATTTTACTAAATTAGTATGTTGCACTTTCACTTTATCTCCCTGTATGGGTATTGTTTATCTCTTACTCAGGAAACGGCAACTGGATCCTTAACCATTGATTACATTCACACGAATTCACATTAATTCATAATAGTGGTATGATAGTATAGCAAATGTTCATTTTCCCAGAAGTATGTTAAATTATAGTATTAAGATTGTAAAGTGGTATAATGTTGATTTTGGGGGGGGAAAAACAAATATATTTGAAACATTGACTGACATTCTTATATATCAGTGCTACAACTATGTTTGGTTTCTGAATTGTATTAATCATCCTACTGTCTACTGAATATTTAATATTGAATATTTAACTTTATGCTTTATGTGAAGTGGTTGTTTGACAGTTGCTTTTCTGTCATTCAGGCTTTGTTCCCACTGGCCAATGTGGCCATGATTGACTATACACTGGAATGCCTCACCGCCACTGGTGTCCAGGAAACGTTTGTCTTTTGTTGCTGGATGTCGAATAAAATCAAAGAGCACTTGTTGTGAGTAACGTCCCTTCTTTGTAAAAAGAGATTTGTTTTCACAGCATCTCAAACTGATTTGTACTCATCTGCAGTGAGGTTTTATGGCTTTTTTTTCCACAGGAACTACATATTACGTTTAAATTCAACCTTAAAGGGGAACTGTAGGGCTATTTTTATAGTTTGGGATTAGAAGGAATTAGCATTGATGAGTGCATTTCAAGATCCAATGAAAGTAGAATATACACAGTAACGTGTTAAAGCTCCAATTTACATCACAACATAGATAACATTTCCAGGTGTGCGCAGTGCCATATTCTGTAATTCAGAACAAGGCAACAAAACGTCCGATGAGATGAAGCAGCGCTACGATGTTGTGATCATGCGGACTTGTGAACACATCTATTTGAATCCAACAGAAATATTGTTATCCACTTCAAGATATTGCTACAAATGCTACTTACAGTACAGTGCCTTGCGAAAGTATTCGGCCCCCTTGAACTTTTCAACCTTTTGCCACATTTCAGGCTTCAAACATAAAGATATAATTTTTTTA